ATTGACCAATCATAAGCATAAATATGTATCACGTGCTAAAATAGTCAATTTTGAATATTTTTCTCTAAATGCAACTTCTCTCTATATGCAAGGCAATCTATCGGTCCTGATGAGTTGCACTTAGAGGGAGTTGACTGTATATAAATCTTTAAATTTAAAAGCAGTAGTCAAAGAAGAAAAAATTGTAATTAGCGAGAACTTCATTTTTTTTTTCTTCTTAACTCAAATTAACAAAGCAAACACGTAATTTATTGTGATTAGCAAGAACTTTATTTTTTTCTTCCCAACTTAAAATTAATAAAGCAAACACGTATTTTTATTATAATTAGTGAGAACTTCTTTTTTTTTCTTCCCAACTCAAAATTAATAAAGAAAATACTATTTTATCGTGATTAGCAAGAACTTCTTTTTTTTTTCTTCCCAACTCAAAATTAATAAAGTAAACACTATTTTATCATAATTAGCGAGAACTTCTTTTTTTTTTTTCTTTCCAACTCAAATTAATAAAGCAAACACTATTTTATCATGATTAGTAAAAACTTCTTTTTTTTTCTTCTCAACTCCAAATTAATAAAGCAAACACTATTTTATCATAATTAGTGAAAACTTCATTTTTTTTCTTCCCAATTCAAAATTAATAAAGCAAAAACGTATTTTATCATGATTAGCGAGAATTCAAAATTAATAAAGCAAAAACATATCTTTCAAACAGTGAAATGATGGTAGAAGTTGGTAAAAAGTATCATACATACCTTATAAAATAACCATAAGTCAAGAGTGAAACATTGATAAAAGGTGTCATTAATAAGAAATACGAATAATAGCGAACCAAAGTATGAGCCAGAATTAAATGTGAAATTATCTGTATTTTATATATTTATACATCACGTTTAAATTTAATTGAGCAATGTCATAATGTTACTACTTAGTCATTCATCATTACTTCAAGATTATTAGTATTTGGTTATTATTTAATAAATTCATCACCATTATATGACATGTTATTATTTAATAAATAAAAGGATTTTTTTTTCTTTTATATGCTTTTATCATATTCTATATTTTCTTAGCCATGAACAAAAACAAAAACAAGACTTCAGATAACAACACATCTAATCTTAATATATTGCAACGACCTAAAAGATGAAATCAAGAAAAAGTTGGTATTGTAATTAATGTTGCCTCTCATTTTTTTTTGTCATATTTTTCCATTTGTCTACACACTATACACATAGTGTTGATCAACTAGAAGATTAAATTTTCAGCAAGGTAATTAAATTACGAATACCAAATAATATTAAGAAATTGATCATTGAGAAAAAATGAGAGGCAACAAAGTATTTTATGCATTATTTATTAATACAAATATATTAACTATATTTATTAACTTAATTTAGGAATCAGAACAAAATAGTATAAGGAATTTTAGCATATGTTTTTATATATATATTAAATAATTATTCCAAATTTATTCCAAATATATTATTAAAAATACTGAAGCTAATATGAGCAGTTTAGCAACTAGTGTACAAAAAAAAAATGAGAACTTCTAATACTTCACTTAATTCCAGTCAAACAAAATTTAATTTACGAACTCCAAAAGTTTCGGAACTATCTAAGCAAATGGTCTCTAGCACTACAAAAGTTTCAGAACAATCCAAGCAATCAATCTCTGGTTCTCCAAATATTTCAGAACAATCCAAGAAATCAGTCTCTGGTCCTCCAAAAGTTTCAGAACAATCCAAACGACTAAATTTCAAAACTCCAAAATCTTTGAAACAATTAAAACAACCGAACTCCAAACTACCCGTTTCACTTGTTTCACCAATAGTGAAGTATTATTTATTATAATTTAAGAATTATTTCTTATGGATCCATTTTTATATTGATACTTTGTAGTTATGTTACTACACTAAGTTAGACCACCTTTTAATATAGAACCATTCGAAGGAACTTTACCTTCTCCTCCTGAAGTGGTTATATCTCATCCTCCTTCTGACTTCTCAGTTCAAGATGAACATAAGTATTAATTATTAAACTTTTTTTGTTTTTTTTTTTAATACGGTACAATATTAAATTAATTCTATAATAATTAGCAATTACCGTTAATTTACACACTTTAACTAAGATATTGCAAGTTGCTCAAAAAAATTCTATTAAACTGAATTCGCTAACAAAACATTTAGATAGTTTGGAAGAATCACTTAACGAACAAAAGGATAAAATATCCGAGATTTTAACAAAATTAGAAAAGCCCGATGTAGTATTTAGCTCCGTAGAAATTGAGAAATCCAAAGTAAAAAAATCTTATAAAAAAATGAATGATGAATTCTATCAGGTATTTTAATATTAACGTACAATGTTATTATTTGCATTATTTGTAATATACATAATTTTATTCTAATTATAGGATGCAATCAAGAGACTTTTATATGAATTGTTTCACGAACACAAACAAATTAACGAGAATGAACTTAAGAGTCGACTTAAAACAAAGCTAGAAGATGATGATTTCTGCAATAAACAACTGCAAAAGTTGAAAAATAAAGAGATTTCATTTATTCAACTTTGGCATAAGAAATTTTATTCTGCCGTTAGTATTTTTACATACTTTTAAATTTTAAATTTTACTTGACAATGCTCATACATTGCTACTAACTCCTATATACGTATTACTAATATAGATACTTGATGCTAATCGGTTAAAGAGAGGTTATTATATTAGATATGTCAAAGAAGCTCTCTGGAGTACAATCAGTTTAAACCATTCAAAGACAGTTACACAAAGGAACAAATGAAACAATGGAAACAACATCCTAATACAAAAAAAGTTTATGAAGAACTATATACTCCAAGTGATTCTGAAAATGCATCCTCAGATACTTACCTCGTACTAATAATTAAATATGTGTTTTTTTTCGAAGAAGAACACATATATGAGAATACTGTTTGGACTCAGGCAGTACTTGAAATAATGTTCAATGAATCTCATCTTTTATCAAAAATTGATACAGAGAATATTGATATATGGATTAAGCATATTATAGATAACGATAAAAGTGTAAGTATATACTATTTACTTATACTTACTTACTTATTTATTTATTTTCTTTAATGTACTACTTTATTATTTTTTTTTTTAGGGTGCACGAGATGAAACTTCTGATCATTTATCACCTTTGTCTAACATTAATAATAACAGTTCAGACGATAATCTTTATACAGATTAGATAACTTATTTTAGTTTAACATTATCAACGCATATTAATCTTAATACTTATGTACATATGTGGTCTAATTGTAAATTTAAAATAGTAATCTTTTAATTTGGGTGCCGATTCTGAATTTTTTATAACTAAATTGTCATGATTGCTAGATCTAGAAATAGTAATTGTTGCTATATGAAGAAGCAATATATACAAGTGCATTTAAGTATATTTTTTCAATAGTTAAAGTCATTTTGTATTAAGTATTAAATAATAGTTATATATTAGTTAGTATAAAATTTAAGTTGTATAATGCAATATAAATTGGTATTAGTTAACAAATATATGTTGTTAAACGTATTGCTTTATGTGCTTTTATACATAGTTAGTTGACATAGAGTTCATTGTTTTACAAATTTTAAAGTTAAACAACAGTAGTGTTTGTTAATACTATTAAACACTTTATAAAAACTTTTTGATGTTAATTCATCTTGATAATAATCTTTATATCATCTCTGTAGTATTATACTGATGTGGAATACTGCAACTTTGAAGTGCATAATAATGCAGAAATAATGTCGACATATGGCTCCTTTGGAGATGGACATTAAGCATGAACATAGAAAAGATATAGCATTTACAATGACAATAAAATGTACATAATTCCTTTTTTCGCTTTGCATGTCTGTGATTTTTTATATTTCTAATATTTCATTCTGGCCTACTTCATCAATTAGTGTCTGGAGTGTGATGAAACATGCATCATATTTGCCCTTGATAAATCTATCTGATACTAGTTAAGTAATTTTCTTTATTATACAAAAATGCTTTATTAGATAATTAAACTTTTTAATTCAATTTAATATTATATATTATTATCTGTTTATTATGTAATTCATCAATATTAGGCTCAATTCTGTTTGCACTAATAAATAAATACTAAGACATTTCTATTTTAATTGTATTGTTTATAGATTCAGTAAAATATTTATTGATAACTTTTGTTATTTCAGGAAACAAATTTTGGCCAGGAATAGAGAAAGTATTTATCATAGTGGCTTGCTTGTAATTATTAAACTAACTCCATCTTACTTCTTTGTTTAATCTTGCATTAAGTTGATTAACAAGTTTATATAAAGTTCTATTTGCTTTTAATTGCTGCTTAATAACCCAATTATAGCCTTCTACTCTTGATATGCTTTTGATACTCGCTGTAAAAATTCTGTAAAGATAAGCTCGGGTCTATAAATGACTGCTCAGATCCAATATACATAAAAGATAATCTTTTGTTACAGAGAAATCATTAAGTAATTTATACATCTTTCTCTGAATAATAGTTTGCATAAACTATTATGATATTCATAAAACTTTCTAATAAAATTATCCCAATTGGTACCTAATTTAGCTTTTAGATTTTTAGATAGGTTTTGTGCAAAAGGAAAGATACAGTGTGCCGAATATGTGTTAAAAAAACAACTGGGATTACAGCATTAAGTGCAGGATCTCCATCAGTAAACATAATAATTAGTGCTTTATCTACAGCTTTTTTGATACATCTAAATATCCAAATATGCATATCAATAGTTTTGTTACTCATTAATACTTGGCAGACAAGATGAGTTACAATTGTTATTAATTACAATGAAGATTTCTAATGGCATTTGATATTGGTTGGTACAAGATGTGTTATCATTTACAACAATATTATAGTACTTAAGCCAAAAATTAACTTGGTCTAAAGATATCCAAAGAAGATGAGTTAAACAGTTGTCTTTATCAAGCTCAAAATCAACAATCCACTGTGGGTCCTCTAATTTTTTTTGTATTAGAGTAATAAGTAAAGTCGATGCATCATTACTAATTTTGGTTGTGCTTTTACTTTTTGAATTGCATTTGCTAAATTTTGATCTTGAAAGTTTAGATCTGGAAATCATACTCTTAGAAAATTTTTTTGCATCATGAATAATAAATTACCATGTTTTGTCATTAAGTCTACTTTGTCAAGTGCTTTCTTAGAAAATAATTGATATTTTACTCCAAAGTTTTGAGTTTCAAAAATAAGAGCATGATTATATTGATTGATATATGTTGTAACTGAGATTTGTATAGCTTGTTCTGGAATAAATAAGTTAATGTGCTACTGGCAATTTATTTTAGTTTTTATATTTCTCTGTGTTCTACTTAATGCTGCTTTAAGTGTTTTTTAGATTTATACTTTTTACTAAATTTGTATATAAAGATTCTTTTATGAACTTGTCCAGAGCTATTTTGCTCCATCTAATATTTAGTGACTGCAAACCCATTTCTAGTTCTATAATCATTAAAAAAATTATCTACTTCATTCCAATTATTGAAACAAACATTTTCAGGAATATCTTCTAAAGCAACTATAAGCAAACCTATTAATTTTAGAAATATTAGTCTTATGTATATAGATTTGTCAATATAATTAAGGTTGATTTGGGTTAAAATTAGAGTTGTTAATAGAGCATTCTATTGACACTATTTTAATAGTAATACTCTAGAGTATTACAATTAAAATAGTATCAATAGAATACTATTATTATTATAAAGCAATGTATTACCCAGAAACTGATTTGGTAAGTCAAAAATTTTTTTTTTTTTTCCTTTGATAACCTCGCACTAATTTATTAGAGTTTTTGTAATTTACAAAATTAACTATCTAATTT